TAAACCCTAAACCGCATGGCTCAGGTTTTAGGCTTAGGGATGCAGGCTGCGCAGTTTAGGCTTTTAGGCTTCTGGCGTTTGAGCCTCACAAATCCAAAAACCTGAGCCCAGAGCCTTCTGAATGCCTAAAACCCTACTACCGTGGCCATTGAAGCCCTTGGCAAAACCCGGGAATCTGTAGCCGTTTTAGATGCACGCTAAGGCCTAAGGCCCAAATATACTCCCACATAACTGTGGTATTACATACCGCAAAGACTCCTTATTCTAACCTTCAGGCCCTTTTATTCACGTCCCTATAGCCCCCCCCGCATACCCCCCAGATTCGAATTTACTCCATCAGATTTTCCACTTACTTGTCCCTTAGTTCAATGGTTCAGGGCCTTAGCCCTTAACCCAGGTTTTCGGGTTTTGGGGTCAGGGTTTGGGTAGGGTTTAGGGNNTTCAGGGGTTAGGGTTTAGGGGTATAGTAGTTTCCATTTTCCACGTCCCTTCATCCCTCGATACCTCTGTATCACCTCTGTAGAATACCGCAAGCACCCAAACGGTACCCCTGGATCCTAAAACCCTGAACCCTAAATCCTGAACCCGAAGCCCTGGCAGGCAACGCGATGGACGTCTTTCATGTTGTTTCGCAGTTGGCTCGGCCGAGCGTTAACATCTCTATGGACAAGCTGGAGAAGGCCATTGTGGTACAGGGAAGGTAAGGTTTAGGGTGAAGGGTTGAGGGAGAAGGACATGGGAGTACAGGGAGGGTACGAGGGAGGCATCCTGTTTACAATACATTGTACTATAGTACATACTTGCATAGTTATCATTCTTTTCATTAGTATCCCTGGCTTATGCAAGGATTTCAGAGGACTGTGCGAGGTGTATAGGGAGTATCAACGTTCAGAGGATGTTGTCGGGCAATAAGCAGATTTGGTTTTTCCCAACCCTTACGAGGAGGACCTTATGACTAGCTGGGATAGCAATCGGCTTATTCGGCAAGGGAGATGCTTTTGTTGGGCTCTGACACAGCATCACAGCAAGCAGGATGGACGCCAGCACAAAGTTAGACATCTTTGGCCTCCGCTATTCCCTCATTTCCAGGAAGTGCGCCAGAACGGTTACCATAAGCTGATGTGCGGAAATCAACTTCACCAGTTGAAATCCGGAAACCTGGATGTAACACCAATTCCTGAAGGTTCTCTAAGCATCATTGGCCTGCATAATCATCATGACAGTTTACTACATTCAGGATCCTGAAGCCAACATCTAACCCCGCACCCAGCGGGTGGTACACTGGCTATCATGATTCGAGTCATGTGATGAATGTTGCTTCACACCCTAAACCCTAAACCCTAGGATCATCCCAAATTTTATCCTCGGGAGGGGGTACTTCAGGTTTAGAAGAACGCCGAAGCAGCCACAAAGTGCAAGCCCCCCAACCCTCGCGGCTTAGGATTTAGGGCTCAGCCCTAGAAAATCCGGTATCGACTTTCTACTCGGGTTTAGGATTCGCGTCGATTCCTTATGGCTTTTCGTGTAATACGCAAGGAGTGGAATTCAACCTTTACCCAAAGTGATCCAAAATCCGGAAGGCCTAAAACAGACATGCAGGTCCTTAACCCTTGTGTAGTCCGCGCAAGCACCACCACCACCACCACCCCACCCTCAGCCTCTGCAGTATACATCCCTGAAGCAGAAACGGGCATAAGCCCTGAAATCTCTAACCCTTAAACCCAAACCCCTAAATCCTAAACCCCTAAGCCGAAAACCCTGAATCCCTGCACCCACTCCCCCATCAGGCTGGCGTGGATAAGCTATCCCTTGATCGTTGCAAGCAATCGGTGGCCGCTAGCCTGGAGGTATTGGAGATTGTATTTAGGGTTTAGGGTCTAAACTCCCAGTATCCCTCTTAATAATCAAGAATCAAATAGAAAAGAAAATGGAAAAGAACATGGAAAAGAAAATGGACAATGAACTGGAAACAGCTATATATAGGGTTATGTAAGGGGATTATAGGGGTTACAGTCTAAACTCCTAGTATCCCCATTAATAACCCATATATAATCCCCCAAAATAACCCTCCTTTAAGGAGTTCAGACTGTAGCACAAATGGCGTCCTTAAAAGGGGTTATATGAGTCTGTCAGGGTAGGTAGGGACATATGGGGATTGGGGTTTGGGGTCGAGGGTTTGGGGCTTTCCAGACTTCTGGGTCCCTTTCTCTCGGAACCTACAATTCTGATGGCATGTCTAGTACAACGAATAGTATTGCTGCTGCTTCTGCTGGCTTCTTCCTCTTCAAGCGTTAATGAATGTTACTATCAGGGCCACTGCTGCCATTATTGCTATTCTGACGTCTGCTGCTCCTGCTACCACTACCACCGCTGTGACTTGCATTCCTCTTCGTGGCTATACTAATGAGTGCTTTTACTGGAACGGCGGCTGGGGAGAATAAGGACCATTTCACTATGTAATATGTTCCAAAACGTATGGTGGCCCTGATACAGACCCGAATGTACCATGGGGGAGACGGACGTGGCCAAGTTGAGCTGCGAACATTTTTTGGTAGAGCTTTCGGAAGGACCTGGATACAGAATCAGAACTGCAATCTGACAATCCTGGAGCGCCGCTGACATCTTGGCACCTTGAAGCCTAAAGCATAGATGGCTGAAGCCTAAGACCTACATCAGCAGAGCCATCAGGCGGACGGCCTCTTCAAGAAGAAGGACAAGGCTGTTCGTGCCTAAGATGAAGTGCCCTCTGCAGCTGTGCTCTGAAGGTTGAGTTCCATCATTTCCTCTTTGCGTGTGAATGCGTGTTATATGTGGGCTATTTTGGGATAATGGAAAATATTGTGGAAACTATTATAATGGGGTATATTGGGGTTATATAGGGAACGTTCATGGTTTCAGTCATATTGGTTGCGGTCATATTCTCCGTCTGACTGCGTTTGTGGCCAATTGTTCCTTCTGATACTTGTTTGAGGGACAGCACGACCAGCCCTGCAGGCTCCAAGTACTGGAATTACAAGCCCGGAAACTAACATGGAATAGAGTATATATATATATACACTCCCCCAAACTAACATGGCAACCATTTAGTCCTCATTTAGAGGGGCTGTAGTCTTTATAGAGGCCTTGTTGGGTTGCCATGTTAGTTTCCAGGAGTCTATCTTCAATGCTAGTGCGTTGTCAAAGAAGCGACCCCACAAGCCTGGCTCCGACGGCTTCCTCGCTTGGAAACTTTGCAATAAGCGGTTTCGGGTTTAGGGTTAAACCTTGAACCTTAAAGCCCTAAATTTGGGGGTTTAGGGTTTAGGGTTAAACCCTGAACCTTAAAGCCCTAAATTTGGGTTAAACCCTAAACCTTAAACCCCTAAATGTAGCCTCTCTGCATCCTCGGGAGAAGTATGCATGAACTACTCAGCCAACTCCGGCAAGGACCTTCGTAGCCCAAACGCAGGCTGCAGACACATGTGACATCCATTATTCCAATATAATCCCAACATAACCCAGTATATAACCTATTTTACTGTAGGAATTTCCATTTTCTTTTCCAATATCCGAATATAACCCCAATATAAGCCTAATATCCTTACATAACCCCTATATCATCCCTATATAGCCCTAGTATTACCCCAATGGGTACCTATATCCCCTGATGCCTTTTGGGCAATCTGCTAAGGGAAAGGAGATCTATGGAGTTTGGGACATTCATCCACAGCCCACGGATGTGGTCCGGAGCCCAGAGGGGGTGTCCCAAAATTAGTGGTAGCTTTACAAGGGGTTATAGGGTATAAATATAAATATATCATAATATCATCAAAGTCACAGTTCAGTTTACATGTTCTTTTCCATTTGAGCTTCCATCAACTAGGGTTTGTGCTTCGAGATCAGGAATGGTCGGTGTTCACATGCTTGCAGGTCAGGAATGTCAGGAATCCTATTGCATTTTTTGACTTGTTTGGGATATGTTGAGATAATGGAAAAGAAAATGGAAACAAGTATTTAGGGTTTAGGGGCTTAGGGTTTAGGATTTAGGGTCCTCCTGCAGTACTCTTGCAGTTTCGTTTACAACTCCTGCTTGTCTTACTGTTGGTTCTAGAATCCTGCATGACCAAAGTAGGCCAGACACCAAAATTCCCAAGGTATAAGGTGATCAGGGCCATACAGGATTTTTTGTATCCACCGTATGATTGGGAAGTTATTCAAAACGGGGCTACAGTGTTCGGGCTCAACCGTTTAGGTATGGAAGTGAGGAGTATAATGAGGGTTCATATTAGAGCTATATGTTATATTGAGAGTATACAGCAGGGTCATATGTTGTTTAGGCTTTAGAGATATTACCACGAAGTGAAAAAGCAAAAGGAGAATAACTTCCCGAGTCGCTACCTGGAGGTTCAGAGATAATCATGACCCACTTACGAGCCCCCTGAGTCCACATAGCACTGAAAGTTCGAGGAGTCCTGCCATCATTCGCCAAGGTCAGCCGGTCTCCGGACATCTACCTGTGCCACAAGGACTCGGGATTTGACAAATTAGATTTGGGGGTTCCCAAAATTAAGGGTCCCGTTTTGGGGGATGCTGGCTGGGAAGGCCCCGTCGTACAGGGGTTTGCAAGTCTGTTGATCCTTTCTCGGGATTTTCTGCCGGATCCGATTGCCTTGAGGGTCCGGGTAGCCCTTCCTCTTAGCTCCCGTATGGAGCTCTAAACCCCAAATCCCTAACCGTTAGCCAGGTTGTCAATTTGTGTCATGGGCGAATTGTGTGATGCAACCTAAGCCAGCTACCCACAATCCCAACCCAAAACCCTAGACCCTAAACCCTAAATCCTAAATCTTAAACCCACTTATACTTGAGTCTGCCAGGACGAAGAGCCACTTTTCCATTGGTCGGGATCCGAGGTGCTGACGGGGACTGAGACTCGGAAACCCTATACACCCTAAAAACCTCATAAACCCTATAAACCCTGCACACCTTCTAAACCCCATAAACCCTGTCATCTTTCTTTTCATTCTTCCTCCTCTTCCTTTGCCTCCTCATGCTTGTGCTGTTTCTGCTGCTGCAGGCGTATAGCGTAGAGGTTTCGGGTCCAACCCCCGGATGCTTCCACCGGGTTTAGGGTTTAGGGTTTAGGGTTTCGAGTTCCCACCTTCAAGTCCAGACACCCTTCCAGCTCCACTCCAATCCGTGAATTCAACATCCCAAATCCTGAGCACTCCAATCAGTGGCCTGGAATCCATTCAGCGAGCAGATTGCAAAAGAGCTTGCCCAAGCGCGACTTTGTTGACTGATGCCATTTTGTAAGGCCTGTTGGCAGTACGAAGCATGTCACGAAGATCACTTCCATCCGGTAGCAGCAGAGCTCTCCATGTAGCAGCCCTCTGACAACCTCAGAAATTCCCACGCAGTTCCGGTGAGCACCCTGCAAGCCTTTGAATTATAGAAGCAATACAAGCCCTACCCTCCAGGCCCTCAAACCTTGAATTCCCAAATCCTAAGCTCCCAAACCCCAACCCTGGACAGCCAAGCCACAAACCCCTCAATCCTTACACCCCAAGACTCTCTCAACTAGTTTGGGGGGTCCCTATAATCAGGATTATAGTATATGGGGTTCTATTTTGGGGTCCCCCTAGCTCTACACCCCAATCCTTAAACCTTAGCCTTACACCCTAAACCCCAAACCTTAAACCCTCAACCTCAAACCTAAACCCTAACCAAGCCTTAAACCCCAAGCCCCAAACCGTCCCCAATGTATAGAAACTACCAACTCTTGGTAGGCGGGCGTGCTGGCGCCAAAGCCTCAGGGAGTTGATCGGGAGCTTTTCCATCCCTAAAGCCGGGGCGCAGGTCTTCAGGTGGAGGGTGAGGCTTTAGGGCTTAGGGTTCCTTTGGGGTTTAGGGTTTAGGGTTCCCCCCGTATCATTTGAGGTTTGGGATATAGGGTGTGGGGTTCCCTCCATCGCTTGGGGTGTAGGTTCGCCGTATCATTTGAGGTTTGGGATTGAGGGTTTAGGGTTCCCTCCATCATGTGGGGTTTAGGGTTTAGGGTTCCCTGTATCATTTGGGGTTTAGGATTTAGGGTTTAGGGTTCCCTCCATGATTTGTGGTTTAGGGTTTAGGATTGGGGGTATCGAGTTTGGGGGTTTAGGGTTTAGGGTTTTGGGGTTCAGGTTTGGCAATGCAGGATCTCAAAGTTTCGGGCTATCCCTTCGGCGTTTATGTTTAAAGGGCTTCGGTGTAGGGTGATGCGGTCTTGGGGCAATGATTTGGGTTCAGATTCCAAATCACGAAAGCTCCCCGTGTGGGAGCTTCGTTCAGTACCTCACGAAGTGAGCCTGGGATTATGGGGGAGGGTTTGTGGGGGGGACGGGGGGTGCCAATTTTTTAGACGGTTTTTGCAGCTGCTCTGCGGGGCACGGACGATTTTCAGGCGTTGGCTTTTGGGTTGTTTGCGGGCAAGATTGGTCAGTTTTGGTCGGTTTTCGGGGGCATTTCAGGAGGTCATGAGGGCATTTGGGGGCGGTTT